CAGCTTTTGATCTCTTCTTTACATGAGTTGAGTTATTTGCCTCTGTCCAGTAAATGTACATACAAGTCTCTCAGATTTGCCCTGCAAGGCAACGACACAAAATTCTGAATTATGCACCGCGTGCACTGACTTGGAACTAAATTGGCTCCCACCTGCTATGAGTGCTGGGGAAGCATTTGGTGTTGCTTGCTTATAAATAGCATACACCTCATGCAAGTGCTAAATTAAATTAGACTTAAAATATTCACATAGCCCACACCTGGCTAACTGCTAATGGCAACTAACGGTTGCAACACAAGTAAATGCTTTTTTTCCTGGTTTCCCCCCCCCCCCCAATTGCCTGTTTGTCCTCTTGTTAAACACTGCAATTATTTGCTTAAGCCAAGTGTGATTTTTGAGACTATATTTTTATGACCATACTGGTGATGTTTCTCCCAGCAACAGGTACATATCGTTCTCTCATTCCCTTTCTCAGTTATTACTCCATCTCAGACTAGACTAGAACTTAACCCTCCATATTGGTGCTCTCTGGGTTACTCCAGAAAAGTCAAATGAGAATTCTGGACATAATATATATAATGTACTATAAATGTAAGGTTTTATGTAAAGAGTTTTAGAGCATTTAGGTACAAAGCTGCTTTATATCAAATCAGAAAACTGCTGCATCAAATCATAGTTGGCATTCTGCTTGGAACTTGTGTCTTCGTAAATGGTCTAACATGTGTGCAAAATTAAATTGTGTAGTTTCAAAATGTCTCTATTTACCTAAGTGCTGCTATGATGTTAACAGTGTAAGGGCATCCATTGTGAAAATGTAGCTAGTGGAGTGACTGATGTACCATAGCCCAATGCTCAATGAACATTGAAGTGCCTGATGTGCATCAGAGCTGCCTGATGCATATCTGAAGTTCCCCATACATGTTTCAGCACATTAATATATATATCCTCCTGACTCACATTCCTGATCAAATTTGTGGAAGGCTTAAGGAAAGAATGCTGAGACACCAGTAATTACTGTAATTATTGTGTTGTTCTTGTTGCATATCTTATTATACTGCTGTATAATTATGACAGCTAGATAAGATCCTTGAGTGTAAAGATATATAAATGAATACCAAATATAGGATCACCATGCCACAGAATTTCTGATTTCTATGTATGTTTGTAAAAGCTGGACAGTTAAAAAAGCTGACAGGAAGAGAATCAACTCAATTGAAATGTGGTGCTGGAGAATCTACAGAGAAAGTAGACAAAAATGGAAACCAGTTTTACTATTTTGGAAAGAAAAATGGACAAGCTTATGAAATAATGATTTGAGGAAAGATCGTATACAGATTGATGAGAATGAGAGAAACTAGAGAGATAATTTTAGAGAAAAATTGACAATAATAATAATTAAAAAGAAGAGGGTTAGAACAAATGAGAAAGTCATTTAAACAGAAAGAACAACAAAGGAATTGGGGAAAATATTTGAAAGAATGTAAAGTTTCAAGAAATACTGACAAGACTAGATGGGAAGTTGATATAAGCAACATAGATATAAAACGTAAGATATGTTGAAAGGGGAGTAAAGAGTCATTGACAAGTGATTAATTAAGAAGGAATTATAATTAGTATCCCTCCTTGGGATGCAATATTTGTTCAATTTTTAATTTAATTTGTGTTTGTTTTAAGTATGCAACTTGTTATATATATTGTTTCTGCTAATAAAAATTATTTTAAAAAAGAAAAGAAATGTGATGCTGGAGGGGAGCTCTATGGATACCATTGACTGTCAAAATGATCAATAAATGGGTCCTACAACAACTCAAACATGAAATGTAGTGCTGGAAATGGCTAAATAGATGCTATTATATTTGGCCACATCATGAATGACATGACCCGTTAGAAAAAATGATAATACTTGGTCAAGAGGGAGGTAGTAGGAAAAGAGAAAGATTGTATTACAGATTGATAGACTCCGTCAATGAAGCTACAGTCCTGAATTTGCAGGATCTGAACAGAGCAGTTGATGCAATGGTGTTTTGGAGTTCTCTTATTCATAGGGTTGCCATAAGCTGAAGTTCATTTGATGTCAGTTCACAGCGAGAATATACAAACACATCACTATATACTAATAATATGCCTATAGTAGCAAATCTTAACAGCACATGCCTGTTGAGTGAGGCTTTTCAGATAAGCTTTTGTAATTCTACAGTGTAAATATTCCAAAATCTGGATTTATAATATTACATACACATTGAGGAATAAGTACACACACCAGAAATACCTTGGCTACACATGTCACTACTAATTACCAAAAGAAGAAGAAGAAGGCTTATAGCTAACCTCATTTAATGTGCAGAAAGCATTTAAATGTTATCACTTGAGCTGGGAACATCAAGAATGTTTAACTTGTTCACAAAATGCTTAAAACTGTAGATTTATATCCAAGTTGTCCTACTTTTTTGGAAACATGATTATCTGTATAAATTTCAGTAAAATTTTACTCCTGAATTAGCCTCTATTTACATGACCATCTGGATTAGTAGTACCTGCTGGAAAATACTATATGGCTCATGTCATGCTGGATATAGTTTCTGGCATACCATTGTAAGCATCAGTTTTCGACTATTTGTGATAATGTGCCAAAATATTAATCTTCTTTAGGGTAGAAGGTTCACATAGCAAGTTTACCATAAACTGGGAAGCAACAGATATAGATTTTATCGGCTTTTCTTCATGTTTTGCATAGTCTTGTGAACAAAACTCTCAGAATGGATTAGATGTGTTCACAATTAATTTCAACAGTGCTATATAACAGCTGAATGTTGTCTCTATTTGTCCCAATATCCAAGATGCTACTGCATAGTCTAATTTCTTGGTCCATATTTGTCAGGAAATTCCTAAGAAGAGGAAGGTATTTCAGCAAGAAGATTATGATAGCTCAATTTCTAGTGAATTATCAGCTTTCTGATAGAATTCCAATAAAAGACGATAGTATAGAAATGAATCTCAGCAGATGCATCTAAGAAGATTATTGCATGGGCTTTTAACCTGACTGTACCCTAATGGGGTGCATCCAGGAGGTGGAATGCAGGCAGGAATTATTACACCTAATTCACTGCTGATTCCTCCGGCCGAGTGCAGCCTGCCTGCAGCCCGGGTCACAGGAGCACTAAGCAAGCTGCTTTTCAAAGCCAGGAGCTTTCCGACTTTGAAAAGTAGCTTGCTGAGTGCTCCTGGGACCTGGGCTGCAGCCTGGCTGCACTCAGCTGGCAGAATTGGTGGTGAATTACGTGCAATAATTCCCGCCTGCATCTTGCCTCCTGGCTGCACCGGCTGCATTCGGGTGAAAAGCCCATGCAATAATCTCCTAAAATAGAATACTCCCCAGAACTGAAGATGCTTCTTTGAGCTTACTGAATATTACTTCCCACCCAGTTTGACAGGGTGTAAATTCCATCAAATAAATGTTTAAAAAAAAAAGTTTTGGAGTACACAAATTCACCTTCAGAGTAGAAACTGAAAAATGAATCACATTTAAAAATTAAAAATAATACATTGCATATTTCTTGAAAGCTCACTTAGTTCACATGACCACACATTCTAGGCTCACCAAAACTATTGCCAAACATGTTTTCTATAAAGTCATCAAACGGAACCCAAAACGGCAGCTGCATGTGGTTAGTTCCTTCATTTTCCAGTGGAATTATTTCAGAAGTGGCATTGCACTAAGGACGTTATCACACGGGGGCAAATCTTCTGGTTAATCCACACAAAACCCAAACAGAAACTGGATTAGTGTCCCGTGTTTTCACACGACGTCACACAGAAAGTGGACAGAAAGTGGACAGAAACTGGTGTTAACCGAGATCTTTTGAAATTCGGTTGTTTGGAGGAAATGCAAATGCGCAATTGAGGTAATTTCGCATTTACCGTAATGTGATAGCCAAATGCGCATTTGGGAGCATTTCCCTGCTGTTGCCATGGTTCCAGTGAGCATTCCTCTATCTGCGCATGTGCAAGAAGCTTATTTCTAGTACATTTACGGGATTTTTTCGCTTGTGTGTGAAAGTTCAATGCGCTTACTTTAATTTCGCAATTAAGGTAATTCCATTTGCGGAATCAAGGTTTATTTTCCGTTTATTTTCGGAATGCCTCATTTCCACTTTATTATCGCTTTCTGGCCCACGTGTGATAACGTCCTATGACATTAAGACAGAGGCCATGATCATACTAATAATTACTTCAGTAATAATTACTTCAGTTCAGTACATTCCCATCAAAAACACTATGTGTAAATGCTGAAGAATCAGGGATGGCTCTGCATATTCTCAAGATGCTGATGTCCATCACATTGAGATTGCGGGTGTTAGCACTCTGTGAAGCACAAAGGAGAAGTCGTCTTAGGAAGCTTCTACATAAATATTGGTTTCATTATCATTTAATCTCAGGGAACCCTGGGAGTTGTGCTTTTCTGAGAAGGATGCTAAGGAATGTTTCTTCATTTGTTGTTGTTATTAACTGCTATCAAGTTGACTTCGACTCATAGCAACCCTGTGAATGAGACATTTCTAAGACCCCCTATTTTCTACTGCTCTGCTCAGGTCCTGCAGGTTCAGGGCTGTGGTTCACCTGATTGAGTCTAGACATCCAGCATGCAGTCTTCCTCTCCTTCTACAACCTTCTAACTTTCCCACTTTCTTTTCTAATGAGTCGCGCCTTCTCATGATGTGGCTGAATTATTACAGTTTCAGTTTCATCATCTTGGTTTCCATGGAGAGTTCAGGCTTAACTTGTACTGGGACCCATTTCTTTGTCTTTTTGGCTGCCCATGGTATCCTCAGCCCTCTTCTCCAGCACCACATCTCCAGGCTATAATTTCCAGGGTTTGTTGGAGAAACCCATTATTATTAAACTGAATTATACTTAACTGTAATATATTCCTCTGTCCACTTGGATTGCTAGAGTGAGAACTGGGGATAGTTCCTGTATCTTTAATAGTTGTGTAGAAGAGAGCAAGCATGGTGTAGTGGTCTGAGTGTTGGACTATGACTCTGGAGATCAGGGTTCAATTTCCTGCTTGGCCATGGAAGCCCACTTGGTGACCTTGGTTGAATCACACTGAAGCCTAGAAAATCATACAATAGGTTCACCATAGAGTCCCCACAATTCAGAAATGACCTGAAGACAACAAGAACAACAAGAGCGAATTCCAGCAGATGTTGCATGACCTGGTTGCATGACAAACAACATATGCTGAAATGCCTTCTTCTACAAATATCAGGATCTGTTTCCAGTTTTCATTCTGTGACTGCACTCAACAGAGTTTGGTTAGGAACAAAACAGTATCATGCGCTCATTTGCTATGAAGCATCTTTTTAACTGCTCACCTGGGATTACAAGAATGAGGGGCAGGTCTGTTAAACTTCTTCTGGCCACAAGTGTTTGGACTGGGAGCTGGGAAGCTTGCTTCTCAAGGCCTTGCTTGAAGCCGGGATATCCCAGCTTGGATCTTATGGCCACTAAAGTAGCCCGACCACCACCATCATGGGGTGGGCACACACACACACACACACACACACACACACACACACACAAGGCCTACAGATATCATGGCTCTTACTCTGGAGACTTGTTTCCCAGGCAACTGGGATAACTGAGAAGCTGCGCTGAAGCCTTATGGCCTGGGCCCCATTCACAATGGGCTGCAGAAAAAAAGGAGCAAGCTGTTTCAGCCTATAAAATGCTTTTGGGAGCACAACTGCTCCTGGCTCTCCTCTTGTGGCTGTCCCTCCTGCAGTCTCCCATTTAAAAGCCCAATCTGGCCCAATGTATAGAACCACAGAATGGGGGAAGGGCCCCTGGGGATAGATAAATAATGGACTCCAAACTCTCCTCAGACCCCCTTTTTTTATCTACTATTCAGTTTACTGAGAGGAGGTGTTGAAAAGACTCTGTTCTTATTCAGATGTCTGCTTTTGTCTTGATGCTCTAATTTAAGGCAGGCCCAGTTAAACACTTGAACACCCTCCCTGGCGTTGCCGAGGATGAGTTCCCATTCAAAAAGAAAATGTTTCCTTCACTTTGAAAAAGAATCCCAAACTTTGCCACATACCTGGACATTCAGAAGGTGTGCGTGTATGGATTCAGTCCAGCTACTAGGCGAAGTAACACCAGCATTTGTTCTTTTAATTTATTTTTTTGTAAGGATTATTATTATTATTAATAATAATAATAATAATAATAATAATAATAATAATAATAATAATTTCTTACCCTCCACTCCCCATGGACAACAGCAATTATCAGACAAACAACATCAGTTAAAACACACATCAATTTAAAAGGACAAATAAGATGCAAACAGATTAAAACAATCCACCTCTAAAATTTATCCTTTAAAATTCACAGTTTAAAAATCACCTGGATAAGCTTGCTGGAAGAGACTTGGCTTCTAGGGAGAGTTTTTAGCAGTCCACAGTATCTGTAGAACTCTCTTCCAGCACCATATTTCATGAGATGGTTCTCTTCCTATCAGCTTTCTTCACTGTCCAGCTTTCACATATAGAAACTGAAAATATGATGGCATGGATAATCCTAATTTTAGTATTCAGTGATATAACTTGACACTTCAAGATCTGTTTAGTTCCTTCATAGAAGCCCTTCCTACTCCTAGTTTCTTCTGATTTCTTGGCCATGGTCTTTATGCTGATTAAGGACTGAATCAAGGTATGGAAAACCAGGGCCTCATTCACACTTACTTTTTTGTATCGAGGAGATTCAGGTCTCCTTGGCAAAGACATTCTGAATTGAAGTTCACACTATGTTTGGCATGATTGAATCTCTCAGTTGCATTTTTACCCCTGTTGCCATTCACACTCAGCAATGGGGGACAATGGGGGGAAGAGGAGGAAGAAGGAAGAGGAGGAAGAATGGAGGCAGCGGGGGAAAGAGGAGGAGGAGGAGGAGGAGGAAGAGTGATGGCGGTGGGGAAAAGAGGAGGAAGAGGAGGAAGGAGGATGTGGTGATAGTAGCAAGAGGAAGAGGAAGAGGAGGAAAAGGAGGAAGAAGAAGAGCAGTGGCAGCAGCAGGGGGAGAGGAGGAAGGAGGAAGAGGCGGTAGGAGGAAGAAGAGCAGTGGTGGTGGCAGGGGAGAGAAGAGGAGGAGGAAGAAGAGGAGGAAGAGCAGAAACAGTGGTGGTGGCAGGATGCTCCAAATAGGATAGACTGTGTTCCCATTGGTGGCTGCCTCAAAAAACCCCGGTGCTTTTGAAAAGAAGCAGTAAATGGCTCAAATTCAAAAGCACCGGTTTAAGTGAGTTTTACACACACACACACAAACCACACTGGATATAACTGGTGGATTTTGAACAAGGCCCCTTTAACCCTTTCAGAAACCGGGTTAAATCGTAGTTTGAATGAAGCCCAGGTAGACCATCACCACCACTCAGTTTGAGCCAGAGGCAACCCGGACCTATACCTGACATGCTATGATGACATGGTCAAAAAAGCACCAATTAGTCTACAGTCTTACACAAACAACCAGACTCATTTTGGATTTGTTCTAAGACTACATAGTCTTATTGTAAATCTACATAAATTCTCTCCGCTCCAGGGCTGGTGGTAAGGCTGACCTGTTTTATATCACATATTTCCAAAAGGATGGAGAGGTAGTGTCACCCTTTCATGATGAGATCACATCTGACACACTGTATTCCAGTTTTAGCCATCCTTTTAATCATGAAAAAGGGTCTTAGCTCAGTATTTGATAGAGTATGGACTTTGCCTACATAAGGTATCATTTTCTATCTCTAGCACCTCCAAATTGGGCTATGAAGGACTTCTGCCTGAGACTCTGAAGCACTGCTATTGGTCCCAGCAGAACCTTCTCATGTTCTAAACAATTTAAGCTACAAGAAACAGCAATTTAGCGTTGATAACCTATGGAGTATGCAGGGGGAAAAATGGGAGACGGAATTGGCAAGATTCAGGATGTTACCACAAGTACAGATGAAGAATCATCTTTTTAATGTCCTTCGTCCACATTAAAGCAACAATCACAACCCATGGCCTGTTATAAGGCAGAAAATGATGCGGAGGGCTATTCTTAAATTCTCTTTCAAATTAGCTAGTTTACTACATGTAAGAGGGTTATGGTTGTTGCTGATTTTAATATGCAAAACTAAATGTTTTTGTAGCACCTTCAGCAGTCCAAAACAGAACAGTTTGGATTTCTACCATCTCCCACGATTACATTTCCTGTAATGTGTATATGAAATAAGTGGAGGATTTATCTCATGTGCAGAGACCAGAAGATTGTCATCTACTTAGTGTAGGAAAGGAGATGAGGTTTAGACTAGACATAATGGGGGCAACGATGATTGCTGTTCCCTTGTCTGTCCCATTCATGTATAAAGTAGTTTTAATTTGTACCCCAGTCTTATACTTAGATCTAAGGAACCATGAAATTAGAACTGGGAACCCATGGAGGTTTATATTTGCTTTTTCTCAGACAGTAGCCTCATGCTGTTGTGTTTCATGCCATTAAGAATAACTGATTAAGTATTTCTTCTGTGAAACCCGCATTGCAATGAATAAGACTTTCCCCACAAGTGTGCGTATCTGCCTTATGTAGATAGGCTACCTTATGGATACCCAGAATCCATAGTCAAAGGTTTTTGTGCTGATCCTAAACAGATGAAAGGTCAGGAGAAGGAAATGATGCTTTCTAAAGAAATAAATGTGGCATATTAATGATATCTCTGGCAAGCTGAATGCTGCTTTCATGACATTTCCAAGCTGCTATGCAGTTTGTTCAGGTGACAAGCAAATGTCTGATCAGACATATGGGGAGGTGAAGAATCACTCTTTGCAGAGTTTTAAGATAACACTGCCAAGTCTCCTTCTGCTGTTCACTGGGCAATTAAAGCAATTCAGCAGCTCGGTGTGTTTTTCCTAAATGTTTACAAGTGGGAAGAATGAAAACACTTCTAGATGTCTCTCTGTGTGCTTTGGCTGCCATTACAGAGCTCTGCATCTAAATTACTGTGATAAATTTGCAGGCATTAATCAGTTGTATTGTAAAAGACATAGGCTGTATCTGCACTGCAAAAATAATCCAATTTGATACCACTTTAACTGTTATGGCTTAATGCTATGGAATTCTGGGAACTGTAGCTTTGGGAGACATTTAGCCTTCTCTGTCAGAGAGCTCTAGTGTCACAGCAGACAACAATTTCCAGAATTTTATAGACTGAGCCAGGGCAGTTAAAGTGATATCAAATTGGATTATTTCTCCTGTACAGATGCAGCCCTAATGAAACAAACTTTCCCTTTTATATGCTTAAATAGATACAGTAGATATGTAGGAAGTGGCTTTATTTAATTTTATGTAGCAAGCCACTTTATTTTATTCATGTAGACCACTGTTGTCTACTTTGACTGGCAGCATCTCTTCAGGATGTTTCACAGAATGTTTCCATTCTGTAAAATGCTGGGATTTGCTCTTTAGAGAAAGGTATTTAGCATTTCCTGCCAGAGAGCTTGTGCCTCACCAAACTACAAACCTTAGTATTCCATATGATGCAGCCATAGCATTCAAAGTGTGCTATAATTGTGTAATATGAAAAGTCCCAGGTTCCACTTTTAAATCAAGATTCCAGAGATTGAGCCTACTTGGGACTTTCTCATGAGAAATATGTGCTCTGTCACTGAGCACCAGAGGAACTATGGTCTGAAGCCAGGGACATAATCAAAGAAGAATGCAGACAGACACTTTCAACAAACAAAAAAGAAAGAGAAAAAACCATGGATGACAGAAAAAAAACTACAAACAATAAAGAAAAGAAGAGAAGAAAAACAAAAGAGAGAGAACAAACTTAGAATTATGAATGCAACAGTTCAGCGTCTTGTGTGGAAAGAGAAAGAAAATTACTACAATGACCAATGCAGAGAAATAGAAGACAACAACAAAAAGGGAAGAACAAGAGCTCTATTTCACAAGATCCGGGAAATTAAAGGAAAATTCAAACCAAGGATGGGACGATCTATGACAATAAAAATAACATACTTCAAGACCAGGAAGGA